CCCCCCCCCCCCCCCCAAAAAAAAATTACAACCGTTATTTAACAACTTGACGTCAGTTTTTCATGGGACTGTCCTGTTATTGATCATGAATTTCGTCATAACATTGTCAAAGTAGCTGTGACCGGATTAAATGAAATTTGAGTTTCTTTGTGAAACTTGAGAAATTTTAAGTTTTAAGTGGTTTCTCTCAAATACGTAGAAAGAAATCAAAGCTATACAAACCAATTCGCTCGTATTTGTTGGCAGTTGCTCGTTGCAGATATTTACCATGGATGAGAGGCTATTCACAACCCAATGAAATATACACCTCACTTAAGATGGAGCCACGGAGAGAAATCAAATCGCCCAGTTTAAATGAATATTTGTGCTTTGAGACTGATAATTGTAGAACGTGATGCAAGGGATTTCATTTTCAAATGGCCTTTCTTGTTGCAAAAATACTAAACCAAAGACAACTAGTTAATTAAGCATAAATTAAAATCAAATGTTTACTTTTGCGAGGGGCCTTACAACTTGAAGGGAATGAAATATTTTGACCTACTTTTTTCCCACATTCACCAAACTCAACATTTGGACCAAGTTTGAGCGAAATTGGGGATTTCAGCTGTATCACCTCCTGCCTGGCATGGTTTTCTGTGAACAAACTCTTTAAAAACTCCCTAAAACCGAGGTCCCGTAGACACAACGCCAGAGGAATTTGAAAATGGAGCTTCCTTTCTCCGGTTAGGCCTTTTGTCCACACTAGTCTGCCACGAAAACGGAGCTTTTCGAAAACCTCTTCAAACCGGAGGAATTTGAAAACGCCGACTTTTTGAAAACGAAACTTTTCGAAGTCACGATTTCAACTCAGGTAGTTGCGAGAAAGTCGCCTGGGCTGGCAACGCATTGCGCAAGTAACAACTTCGGAAGAACTGGGTACCATGTCTAAAAATAACTCAAGAGGGTTTACCTTGGGTATAAGGCCTATATGGGGGATTGATCTTCTCTTGATTTGTGCTAAATAATCAATGAACAATTGGAAAAGACAACATTTTCTTCTCGATTCGATTTTGACTCGTGCATCTTTATCTCCTTCAAGACGTACGCTTCTTCATACGAGCAATGACAGTCTGTCCAATTTAAAGGGGGAATGGCAACTTGTATTCAGTATAGTCTACGGCGGCTATGAACACTGTCTTGTCATACTTTATTGAACAAACTGTTGCGCTACGTTACAAATAGACGCTTGTTTAGTGTTCACATTAACACGAAATACGAATATGTAGCACACAGTTTAGCAAACTGGACTTTCATGTATGCAACTGTGCGCGGAAAATAATATGTACATATTTACAGCACTGAGTAAAAAAAGAAGACCCATTCTCCAAAAAGAATTGCTCCTGCGATCAATAGTTCAGCATAATTACAGTTCAAGATCAGTATTTTACTTCCTGTTGAAAACATCATTGCCATCAGCAGGCTGAACGTAGGGCAATGATTGGACAATGGAATGATCACTATAGACCAGTTTTCACCAGTACAGAAGCTTGCACAACATACGTTGACGTAGTAAGAAGTTGATAATAATTTTTGCCCTTCGTTAGAAACACTTTCTGACAAGTGGCGCTGCGAATGCTGCTCAGGCGAACATGAAGTACCACCCTTTAGAGTGACCGGTTTCGCGCCTTGAGGACTGCCAGAAACGTCAGATCTTGTCCATCTAACGACGAATTCCTTCTCACCACCACCGGCTGACAAATCTCGTGGCTGTACTTGACTCTTCAAAGCAGGGAAATCACGCGAGCATTTGTTCGTCAGTTTCACTGCCCATTTCCATTGGCTGGTTTGCCCTGCACTCATGTTCAATTCCTGGCTTGCTCTCGTTCTGGGAAAACTAGAAATGGCAGAATAAATTAGTTATATGAAACACCGGTCGAACAAGCTAACGAACGAACGAACGAACGAACTGAAAAGGGAGAAGTGTATAAGCGAGGCAGTGACTGAATAATTGCCTGGTGGATTGACTGACTGACTGTCTGTCTGTCTGTCTGTCTGACTGATCGAGCAACCGACCGACCGACTGACCGACTGATTGAGTGTCTATCTGGCCACTGACTAACCGAATGACCGACTGACACTAGAATAAAGTATTATCAATTTACGATTTACAGCCGTTAAATGAGTATTTTTTTCGCTACTTTTTTAAAGGTGAGTGACAGGGTTGGTTAGTGGATCAATAAATAGTAGGTTGGTATGTCTTTCACTAATTGTTAGCCATTATGTAAAGCAAGTTCAGTCATGGTTGACACGTTACTTACCAATGACAGATTGACTTTCAGTTGTTCAGTTTCCAAGAGCGTCTCGAAGCTTCCGCTCAACAGTTTCGCGAAAATTTTCATAGACGATGCATCACTAGTTGGTAGCGTGTAAGTAAGCTTTTCAGGCAGCTTCATCTCGTCTATTTTCTTTCTCTCCACCTGCTTAGAGATTATATAGATTTGTTAAGTATAAGTCCATCAGAAAAATTAAGGCGTGAATAGTGAATAGTTTGTTTGAGAGATAACTGAGTTTGTCACCTTAAAAGCCAGATTAATTAGTTCATTGGGTATGGCTGGAGAAACTTCAGGTTCACAATCAAGGGCTATTGGCTTTCTCTACTACCTCCTTCTCGCGGCGCCATTTAACTGTATATTGAATGTGAAATAGCAACGCCCTGGGAACGAGGTTGATGAACTAGCAATACTAGACGTACCCTTTTAACAGCTTGGAAATCACCCATTTCCAACTGGGCAGTGAGTGTACCCGCTTGTGCTTCTTCGCTCCAGCAAAATCTGTCCGAGTGGACTTTAAGCAAACCAAGTCTGATTTGTTCCTCCTGACAACGAAGGAACTGGTATGTCAATTTATGAGTCATGCCATGCTGTCAATCACTACCATTTGATTTACAAGACAAGTCATACTATTAGTCACTGTAGTGTTAATTTATGGGTGACGTCATTCTGCCAATCACTGTCATGTTAAATTATAAATCATTCCATTCTGTCTTATGGAGCAAATGTATGAAAGTAACTGTAACTGCCCAGTTTTCTTTAATGGGATCCCCATGTGATAAAATGGTCGGGAATGCTTGTGTTCTTTTTTAGCAAAATTAAATTGACTTTATTGTCACA